AGCTGTGCACTTTAAACCAACAGTTTCAAACTGCAGCCCTTCAGTCAGTGCTGCTCATTTGCAAACACAATCAGCTGGAAAGCTTTGCTTTGACTCTAGTTTTAACAACATTGTAGCATCTCACCGTGCCGAGTTTCTGTCTCAGATGCAATGTAATCTCTCTCATACTTACACCTGGCGGTCACGCTGGGCTCGGTTTTACAAGAAGAGGACATTAAAGTGAAATATTGTCATAGTTTTGATTTTTTGGGTCTTGTGCAACACTGTAGTGCAGTCTGTGTTATCTGTATTTTCCTCTTTCAGTCATGTAAATGAGACGAGCACGTGCCGTCAAGCCAATTAATCAATAATATGATTCGTTGCTAACAATTAGTTGTTGCTGCCCTGCCTGTCCAGGGTGTATCCTGTCTTCCACCCAATGACAGCTGGGATAGGCTCTAGCACCCCCAGCGACCCAGAAGGATAAGTGGCTTGGAAAATGTGTGTGTGTGTGTGTGTGGTTACTTACTTGTCTACAGGTCTAATATCTTTTGTTTGTTTGCATATGTATTGTTGACACTGTTTTTCATAGTTATTTCCTCTGATCTCTTCATTTAAAGGTTTGATGAACTGGTGTGCAGATTATCACCGAGAGGAGGTTCAAAACAGATGATTTCCTTTTAGCATAAAATGTTACAAGATGCATGTTAAATTTAAAACACTGTGCACTAGCAACACCCCTTACAATTAAACAGAACTGAGCACTATATGGAGATGACTAATACCGTTTTAGTGTTAGATGTGATTAAATTTGACTCACTGAGCTCATATTCTTTTGCATCCCTGTTTAAGAGACTTCTGGTAGTGACCCTTTAAGAAAAACCAACGACCCTGCTAAAGCAAACAGCTGGAAGCCATACAGCTCTAAATAGGGTGAGTGTTTGTGATGTGTGAGGGCCACTGAGGCAGCTGAGATCATGCTGGAGGTAGAGCAAGGGACCCAGACGAATGACCAAGCACTTATTAAACTCTCCTGCTTCTCAGTCTGTTTTCACGAAGCATTTCTGATCAAAACTCAATCACACATCTGCTACTTTCACATACAGGCACAGAATTCAGTGAAAGAGATCCTGTGGGGATCAGTAGTGAAAAGATAGTAACAGTTTTGGAGGATTTTCAGAAGAAGCCTGAGAAAGCATTCAAAGATCCAGAACCATCATCACAGGTTCTCTTCAAGGTGGTTGAAAGCCAGTGAGATTGGGTCATGAATCATCTCATTCTGGAGTGAAGACCTTCACAAACCTCCACTGATTTCTAATTAAGCCTTTCTGAGTGTGTTAGTTCCACTTAGATTCGTGCTCCACCACATGAACTGCCTTAATTAGATGAAGCACTTAGTCATATCTCACTAAATGAAAACTGAGCTGAAATGTTAGCTTATAAGTTAAAGCTACAAAACTATTGGTATGAAAACCAAAACCAAATTAATATCAGCAGCATTTTTGTTGTATTGTTTTAATTTCATAATATAAATACTAGCTTCCCTTTATACTGTGTCACAGTGTAAGGGGGCAGAAAGGTCCAAAATGACTTTGAGTAAAATCTTCTTCTTTCATTAACTTACATTGAAACGTTAAGAATGTTTTTTCTTTCCCTGTAAAGTTACACTTTAAGAGATACAAGCTTTTGTTCAGATTGTGTAAATATATATATATATATATATATATATATATATATATATATATATATATACACCTCCTTGTTTCTACACTCATTGTCCATTTTATCAGCTCCACTTACTATATAGGTGCACTTTGTAGTTCTACAATTATAGACTGTAGTCCATCTGTTTCTCTGCATACTTTATTAGCCCCCTTTTACCCTGTTCTTCAGTGGTCAAGACCCCCATGGACCCTCGCAGAGCATGTACTACTTGGGTGGTGGATCATTCTCAGCACTGATGTGGTGGTGGTGTGTTAGTGTGTGTTGCACTGGTCTGAGTGGATCAGACACAGCAGTGCTGCTGGAGTTTTTAAACACCTCAGTGTCACTGCTGGACTGAGAATAGTCCACCAACCAAAAATATCCAGCCAACAGCGTCCTGTGGGCAGCGCCCTGTGACCACTGATGAAGGACTAGAGGATGACCAACACAAACTGTGCAGCAGCAGATGAGCTATCGTCTCTGACTTTACATCTACAAGGTGGACTGACAAGGTAGGAGTGTCTAATAGAGTGGACAGTAAGTGGACAATAGCTTATACTTAATATTTTGACTGGAAAGGGTGGTCCCTGACTTAAGAACATTTTTTTTGGTTTCTACACAGTAAACCAAAGTATATTAATTGACTTAAAAAAAAAAACATGCACATTTCTTGCCTCAAAGATTTTGAGCTACCTAACAGGCTCAAGCTTAAATAGCTTTATATTTGAGTTAGAGCACTTTCTAATTTTCAGTGATCCTCACTTCTTCAACAAGTAAGGTAGAACTCAATCAGTCCACTCATTTTAAATTGCTCCAATTGATCCAGCAGAACTCTATTTTGAAAAGTTCTGCTTACTCTTGAATTAGCTAGTTTAATTTAAATCAAATGCTTCTGCTTGTGCAGTGCATAGAAACATCCAAAGATCCATTACTTTAACTGGACGGTTTATACAGTAATGAACAAATAGCTCAGATAGGATGAGTCATCTATTCTCAAGACTCAAGCTGCTTCATGCTTCTTGTGTTCAGAGGGCTGATATTTACTGCCTGATAAGTGTTCATGGCTACAGGCTGAACTGGTAAACCTGAACACAGAACACCATCATGGTGAGACTGACAAAAACATGTGAAAGGCATGCAAACTTCTGTGACACAAAAATAACAATGTGAAGAGAAGCCATTAAAAATGAGAGAAACAGACTCGTCTGTAGGACTTCTCCAAAGTAACTGATCTCAACTAGCTTACACTCAAAAAAATTATTTGTTGGATTTATTTAACCAGTTATGTCAACAATTTCCAATAAACTTAGTATTCAGATATCATTTGATAACATTTTTAAGATGGCAATAATTGACTTATGTGCAACCAACACCACTGTATGAGGTAATTCCAACTTTATCTGGTCAACTTGAATTTAATTAGTACATCATAATTCATGAATCATTGATTCATGCCAACGTAAAGATATTTCATTACACTGAGTTAGCTCACTTACGTAAATGTCACTTAACTGTTGGATGGCTGTTACTTAACTGTATTTCATAAGACCAACTGAACTATACTTTGTAGTTCCAACTTAACTGACTTAAATAAGTGTGACTGGCACTGGATTCTGTTTAACTTAACTGGTTTTTATTATCATCATAGTATCAATTTTAAGTGAAATTTCCAGTGTAGTTAAGTAAATGTAAATCACACAACTTTGATTCTGTGGAAAAGTACATTTAGAACCAAAGAAACACTGACCATGTTTCCCAAAAGCACTGTTTACAACTAGTTAAATGATAGAGGGAATATCATTTTGAACGCTCTCTCTCTTTTCACGGTTACTCAACGATGCTTTCGGGAAACAGAGCCCTGTTTAGCTGCCTGAGTTAAAAATAATGAAAATCTATAAAGACTGATATGTCTCACCTTATCAATCAACTTTTCCATCCCCTCACATTGTTCTTCACAAAGAAGCCCTGGCCTTTTAAGGGGTTCATAGATGAGTGAAGTTAACCAAAAATAGTGTTATTGTTCAGTCTTACAGTATATTTATGCCCTGCTGAGTTTTGGATCAGACTGTTTTCAGAGAGTAGACTTACAGTGTTGTACACTGCAAGCCTGGATAAGTTAATTTACTTTAAAAATTTGAGGAAACCGGTTGCCTTAAAAAATTAAGTAACGTGTAATGAAAACTTGAGTTAGAATAACTATCATTTTTGTGTTAAGCTAGCTTAAACACGTTTGTGCAACTCTTAAACTCTAATTACTGTAATTTAACATCTCAAAATTACAATTTGACTACATGTTTCATTAGGCAATTGAATTTTTTTTCTATTTAAGTGATATTGACCACTTTGACAAACACCAAGAGTTTACCTTTACAGTGAATATGGTCACTGAAGGACACGAATGCTCACTCACCAGCAAGAAGTAGCACATCTTTTGCTTTTATCCAACAGTACGATGTAAGTCAGCTCAATAACACATTAAAAACTCATACACCTGAGGAAAGGCAGCCTGAAAGCCCACTGACGGTGAGTAAAACAAATGGAATGAAACACTCAATATGCAAATAGATGGAGCCAGCAGCCAATGGGAAAGAAATATACGTTTAATCTAACAAGATCGTGTTAACAAAACAAACATGTAACTGCATGTTTACAGCTTACTTAGTTTGACTCAGTTTCATACATTTGTTCAGCAACTTTAGTGAGAAAGAAACAATTAAAACCAACAGAAATGTCGGCATTTTTTTGAATGTAGGGTTTCAAAGTAGCAACAGACTAAACTAAATAGCAATAAGTTAATTCAACTCAAAAATGCCATTTGAGTGAGCAAAATCATCAAAAACGTTCCCTTAACTTAAAATAGTTGAGTTATATGTGGGATATACTGAGTTTTATGTACAACAGACTTAATGTATTTGAGTTAAAACAAAATGCGGGATTAGTGTTGTATGCAGAACCCCAGTGACTCACTTTAACACAAAAACCCGTTTTATTTGTATTATTTTGTTCGTTAAATTACAGAACGCTTCTCTACGATAGTATAACGCATTGAGTGGCACTGCGTGGGACAGGGCAGCGTTAATGACCCTGTGATCCTCGTGCTTTAGTCTAACAGTGATCCGGTCTGGTGAACAGTGCTTGTGAATGAACCTTTAGGAAAAAACAAAACCCACAAGTGACATCACACCTGCACGGCGCCGCTGAGCTCGTGACGCGCTTCTCGTGACCGCGCGCGCGCCTTCAAATCCCCTCCACCGCGCGTCCGCAGCGTCCAAAAGAGCGCAAGCGACGGAGCGGGACGTGCGCGCGCCGTCAGCAACATGAAGAGCAGCAGGTGCCCAAAGCGAGCCACTCGGAGCGCGAGCCCCAGCAGCGGCAGCGCGAGCCCGAACTACAGAAGTAGCGCGAGAACAACCGCGAGCAGCCGCAGCAGCGCACTTTCTCCAGTTCACAGCGCGAGCCTCGCACTCTTCGTGCTGCTGCTGCTCTCCGCCGCGCCGCTCTGCACAGGTGAGGCACTCAGCTTTCTCCTCCCTCACCTTCAGTCAGAGACCCTTCCTCCATCCCTCCGCTCATCTCTCGGTTTGCTTTGCGCTCAGAGCGCACAGAGCGGCGCAGTCTGAGCGCAGAGAAGTGGAAAGAGAATAAAAAAGTTTTTAAAGGTTCTTTAAATTTACATTATTCAAATGTGTGCAGTGGCTTAGCACGAATTAAACATGTTACTAAGCGTAAAAACTTAATTCCATCTTATTTAGCATCTTTACATGGAACCGATTTGAGTCATAAAGATTCAGCAACTCATTTTTTCTTCAGTGTACGCTCTTAGAAAAGATGGTTCTTCAAGGGTTCTTTCGTGAAGAGAATGGTTCTATTTAGGACCACGAGCAAAAGTAGTTTTATATCCTTAACAAGAGGGGTTGTCAAGGGTTCTTTCATAAACGGAATAGTTCTATTTAGAACCATGAGTAAAAATAGTTCTACACTCTTAAAAAAGATGGTTTTTCAAGGGTTCTTTAGTAATGATTCTATTTAGAACCATGAGTAAAATAGTTCTACACTTTTAAAAAATATGGTCCTTTAAGGGTTCTTTAATAAATGGAATGATTCTTTTTAGAACCATGAGTAATAATAGTTCTACACTTTTACAAAAGATGGTTCTTTAAGGGTTCTTTAGTAAAGGGAATGGTTCTCTTTAGAACCATGAGTAAAAATAGTTTTACACTCTTAAAAAAGATGTTTTTTCAAGGGTTCTTTAGTAAAGGGAATGGTTCTATTTAGAACCAAGAGTAAAAATAGTTTTACAATCTTAAAAAAGATGGTTCTTCAAGGGTTCTTTAGTAAGTGGGAATGATTCAATTTAGAACCATGATTAAAAGTATTTGTACACTCTTAAAAAGATGTTTCTTCAGGGGTTCTTTAGTAAAGGGAACCTATTTAGAACCATGAGTAAAAATAGTTCTACACTCTTAAAAAGAGGGTTCTTCAATGGTTCTTCAGTGAAGGGAATGAGTAAAAATAGTTCGACACTCTTAAAAAAGATGGTTCTTCAAGGGTTCTTTAGTGAAGAAAATGGTTCTATATAGAACCATGAACACTCAAAGAACCCTCTGCATGATTACTTGGATTTGCATGGTGAAATGGCTCTTCATATTGATAGAGAATGTGCTGTAGATGGTTTTATATAGAACCTTTCCGAAAAAATGTTCTATATAGCACCAAAAAGTGTTCTTTTACTTTAACGATGTCAAGCTTGTAACAAAAGAAGAACCCATTTTCATGTTATATAGAACCCTTTTCAAAAAGGTTCCATATAAAACCATCTACTGCACATTCTCCATCAGTCTGCTGAACGCTTTCGTGGTGCAAAGAACCCTTTAATTATGAAAAGGGTACTTGTGTTAATTACCCTTTACTAATCCTTTATAATTATCCTTTACTAAAGAACCCCTAAAGAACCATCCTTTTTAAGTGTGTATATAGACACCAAAAAGACTCCTTGTATTGTTACAACACTCTTAAAAAAAGGTTCTTCAGGGGTTCTTTAGTAAAGACAGTGGTTCTGTATAGAATCCTGAGCACTTTAAAAAAAATTTGCATGCTGAAATGGTTCTTCAGATTGATGGAGAATGTGTTGTATGTGGTTCTTTATAGACCTCTTTTGAAAATTGTTCTATATAGCACCAAAAATGTTCTCCTACTGTTACAAGGTTGACACCGTATCAGTAGCAGAACCCTTTTTGGTGCTAGAACCAATTTAAAAAAGGTTCTATAAAGAACCATATACTACACATTCTCCATCAATCTAAAGAACCATTTCACCATGCAAAAAACATGGTTCCTTATAGAACTCTTGGTTCTAAACAGAACCAACTCTTGAGGAACCATCTTTTGTGTGTGTTAAAACCTTTCAAGAGGAAAAAATCTGCAAAACTGAGCCGTTGAGATGTAAACAGTGTCGCTCAGAGTGGTTTAATGTGAAATGAGTCGTTGTAGAGAAACTGACCCTGCGGTCACGATGTCACAAATAAAGCCATTTTATTTGGTCTTACAGTGGTCCTGCATGTGTGTGCAGTGAGTTTTTATATGTGATGTTTATAATGGTAAAATAGTTTTAAACCCCAAAAGCTTGTCGCAAAAACTCTCGGGCACCAGCCAAAGAATCCATAACCATTCTGTGTGCTAGCTTTCTTTGAAGGAGCCCTTGGAGACACTGCACATTTCAGACACCTGGTTCCCTTCATGACCACTGTGAGCAATTCAGGCTTGAACTGAGCATTTCACATCAAACCACCCTGAATGACTGTTTACATCTTAAGAATTTGATAATGAAATTTTGAAACATCGGTGGACTTCCCCTTTTAGTGTTCTATTGCAGCTTGAGTCCAAATTTAAAAGCTCTGAACAAATGATCCTTTACTGAGGAGGGAAGTTACTGTAAGTGTGAAAACTGAATTGAAGAAAAATGTGTTCATACTTTAAAACAGCTGAACAACTAACATTTAAGGTTGATGGAATAATTCAGTCTAAATGAAAAACCTCTGAACAAATCATCTTTTACAGGCGAGCCGGGGAAATAACTGGCCTGTCTATAAAAGATTATTGGAAACACGTACAAATAAACGTAAGTAAACTTTCAAAGACTTTCAGCGCAGCCTGGGTCTAAATTTAAAGCCGAATGAAATGAATTACAATCCGCACGAATGATCTCACACCAAGTCAGAACTACACGCAACAGGTGTTAGTCTACCTAAGGACTGTCTGTCAGTGCTGCTCTGTCGTCTATGTATGATTAATGCAGTGTTTCCTGTGAGTACATGATCATTAAAGCAGTGCCAAAGGCTTCATTGTAACTCTGAGGGGGGGCGCGCTGCTCCAGACCACCCGAGCCATCTGACTTCAGATGCTCAAAATAGTTCTAACATCAGTCTTTCTTTCCTTCATTACCGTTTACACACACAGATCAGTGTAGCCGTTACAGAGAGAGAGAGAGAGAGAGAGAGAGAGAGAGAGGGAGTAAGATAGAGAGAGAGAGGGAGAGAGGGAGAAGGAGTGAGAGAGAGAGAGAGAGAAAGGGAGAGAGAGATTGAGAGAGTGAGATAGAGAGAGAGAGGGAGTGAGAGAGAGAGAGAGGGGAAGTGAGAGAGAGAGAGAGGGAGAGAGAGGGAGTAAGATAGAGAGAGAGAGAGGGAGAGAGAGAGAGAGGGAGTAAGATAGAGAGAGAGAGAGAGGGAGTGAGAGAGAGGGAGTAAGATAGAGAGAGAGAGAGAGACAGAGAGAGAGAGGGAGAGAGAGGGAGTGAGACAGAAAGAGAGAAAGAGAGAGAGAGAGAGAGAGAGAGAGAGAGAGGGGGAGTGAGATAGAAAGAGAGAAAGAGAGAGAGAGAGAGAGAGAGACAGAGAGAGGAGTGGACTGCACTTTATCAGCTTTAACAAACAGTGAGTTTACAGTGAGACTCAAGCGGACATTTCGTGTCAGGTCGACAGAACCAACGGACAACACTCAAAAACCGGTCCAACCGGTCCAAAACCCATTTTTAAACCAGGCAAGTTTATTTAGATGTTTAACGAACTAAAAAAATTCGCTACACCTAAAATCCGCTACGACTAAACTAGCTAGCTAGCCAGCTATCGCTAACAAACTAGCTCGTCTCTGGCATTAGCTAACCTAAGTTAGCGTTTTAATCGAGGGCAGAGCTACAGTCTGCTTTGTTTACCTCACCTTTAAACATCCCGACACTCCTGAGCATCGGGAGAGTGGAGCAGGCTCTGTCAGCCACAGTAAAGGAGCATGAAAGATTCTAAATGTATACGGACTTCATTTCCCACGAGTCTGTGCGCAGGAACGTAAAGACGTGACGGAAAATCTGGATTTAAACGGAATGATCCTCTCTGCTTATAAACAATAGAACCGGAACATTAGATAAATTCCCTTAAAATGATAAGTGATAAGAAGAGCCATACTTTCCTCAGATACCTAGCGCTTTGCAATGTCTGATTATCATGATTATTATTGCTTTCATTTTTATTTGTCTGTTGTTTATTTGTTTGTTTGAATTTCATTTTGTTATTTTAGATTATTTTGCTGCTGTTAATTTATCCATTTAGTGTAGTAGCGATGTATGTTGTAGTGATATGTGTTATAGTTGTTATGAATAATTACGTAGTTGCATCTGCTAAAGCCGAGGGTGGCGAACTAAGGGTCGGTGTCCAGCCCTGTTTGGTGAGTTCCCTGCTTTAGCACACCAGCTAAACCTGGTAATTAGCTGTTGAGTTGAATCGTGTGTGCTTGAGAAGGTAATTTGCCTAATTGTGCATGAATCCGGCCCTCAAGGACCAGAGTTCCCCACCCCTGGTTTAAGCCATAGTTGTTTAAAAATGATATGATTAAAATTTACATCTTTTTGTCAAATGTACCAACCAAAAGCAGTCATGAAACACTTAAAAGGCAAGGTCCAGATATGTTTAAAGTGAATTATTGAGTGGGAACTATTCTTTCCCCCCAAAATGTTGAAGAGGACACGTCCCCCATCCCACCCCCCTAAAATCTACACCTCTGTGTGTCTATATACAGTATTCTGAGTGAATGAATGCGTTCATATGAGCATGTAAAGCCAATAGGCCATCAGTCATTTTGGAAATGTAAGTTATTTTGAAGGCTGTAAAAGCCCGAAAACAGAGGGCTGAGAAAAGGCAGTCGTAGTGATGCTCTCCAGCGCCTGCTAACGAAAGACTGAAGAGATTTAAACACAGTGAAAGCTGTATGTTTGATCTGGTGTATAGTTTCATTTTGAGGGTCTGTCAGCTCGCTGTGGACTGAGGCTGTGTGCGTTTCGCTCTGTGTTGAGCTGCAAACATCATTGTGTGTCTGATAGTTGTTGGATAGTTGTCAGAGTGGCTGATGTATCAGTGGATGACGTTTGGAAATCTGTGTCAGGGTGACTAATATTAGATGGATGAATTCATGTTCTTAAGGCACCTTAATACACTTCACACAAGTACTTCGGTTTTCGTCCTGCTCTGCTCATGATCTTACTGCATGTGCTGGATGAGAGAGGAGGCTGACACTGTGATCGCTTGCTTTTGAAGATGCTATTGCTTTTCTGGAAAATCATGGAAAGCCAAATTTTAATCACATTTTTTAAATAAAGAATTCGATATAGCATGTAAACATTAAAGTTTCAAAGTATCAAAGTATCTTTCCGTTTATATGCAGTTGTATGCAAAAGTTTGGGCACCCCTGGTCAAATTTTATGTTTTGTTGATTTTCTAAATGAAAATAAGTTATGCATCCTTTACAGAGAACACACTTCTGCTTATATTAGTGCACGATTACTGTTTATTTGCTGTAATTGACATATTTCATGTAAAACATAAAAAGTGGCTAGTGAAAAAGTTAAGGCACATTTTATATTTTGTGTTTTACTTTTTAAACTCAGTCAATAAATATAAACTGTGCACTAAATTTAGCAAAAAATGAAATATTGAAATGTGTTGTGTGTAGAGGACGTGAAGTTATAAAGAGTGTTTCAGCCCACACTGCTTTTTAAATACAGGGTAGCCATTCAGAACAGAGGTAATTTACATGTATCAGCATTAAAGGCACTGCAACAAAAGCAGGTTGTTTAGTTCTAAGGGATAAACGGAGATTGGAAAATTCTCATGTAAAAATGTATAAATCCACACAAACATTATAAGTGGACTCATATGTAGGAAAAACATAGAATATGGGCCCTTTAAAGCTTTATTATTGTCATTAATAGTTTAAAATCTACCAGTTTTGCAGTACTGGGCTGTTTGTCATTGTCAGATGCATCATGCTCCACATTAGGCAAGAATGACTTTTCTGGCGAAAGTTCTAAATTCAAGTCACTTCTGTAATTTCTAATTTTGATACAACCATTAATGCTTCTAAGATCTTGAAGTTAGACTGCTTTGTGCACTTGAATAACATTTAACCTCCTTTTCTCCAGCTAAAAAAAAGTATCAACTCTGCCATCGTCAAATAAGTAATACAGAATAAAGAAGTCACTGAGTGTGTTCAATGCACTTAATAGTCCGATAACTGCAGAAAATCAGATTTTGTCAGTAATCCAACACGTTTACATGCACTTGAGTAATCAGATAATGGAGAAACTCTTGGTCTATATGAGTCAGACAGTATTCACTGCTTTACAACCAGCCAATAAACTCACAGAATCAGACGTGACGTAAACGCAACGTCAAACTCATAAAACTTCATGCCGTGGCTTTTTTTAAAAAACATCGCACCACTTTACCTGAAAATATGAGCATACATCATCTAGAAAACGAAGAATATTTAAATCCTTTATTTCATGTTTGGTTTCAGCGCCACTCCAACAGTGTTTTACTGTGTCTCGCGACTTCCACCGTCTGTTCTCGTGCATGCGCAGACTGAGAAATCTGATAGAAATCGGAGTAAGAGTTCACATACACTGAAAAATCTGATTACTGAGCCAAAATCCAGCTCTTTTTATCAGATTTCTTAATCAGAGTATGGTGTTTACATCCGATTATGATTGGATTATTGAGTGCATGTACACGCATTTTTTGCATTTTTACATCCTGTCTTATGAGCATTTGTTTCAGGATTAATTAAAATATTCTCTCCTCATTACTTGACATGACTAGACGTCTATTGATTGGATGTGGTCTGGGAAATGCTCAAGGGAATCCATGGATGATCTAATCAATCCAGTGTCCAGATTAACCAAAGTGACTGACGGACTAAATAACACGTTGATTGATTCCTTTACTCTGGCTACTGTGAAAAAGTAGGAGATTCAGATGAAGGGCTTGATTGATGAAAGCAGTGCTGAATCATGAATCATGTTCCTGAAAACTGACGGGACTGTTTTTATCTGCAGTGGGTCCAGAGGAGAAATCATCCCTGTACACTGATGTACTTCACCCTGCAGCTCCTCTGACCCGAGTCTTAATTCAGCCATTAAACAAAAAAGCAGGATTGATCTCACATCAGTGTAAAAGGGCAACATCCACCAAAATATCCTGCCCACTGCAGCCTGAAGTGTCTGGAAAAGGATAGATTTGAAGCAGCCTGAATGAAAATGTAACAAGAGGCTTGAAATGTGAGGAGCTTCATGACGTTAATGTCTAGACATTCTCCTGGGTGTCAGTACTGGCAGTTTGTGATCGGTTGTGGTCCAATGACGTGTTACGCTTTGTGTGTCATTACATATTTATAAATATGCAAACAGTAAACACTAACAAGCAAGCAAGAGCAGCTTTACAAAAGTCCTGTATTGTGCAAAGACAAGATAGTAAGAGGTTATTTTTTATTGATTATATTAACCATATCGCTGTTGGAAGAAAACCTTGTATCTTCAAAATTGTAACTTTACAGGAGAAGGAAAAAACTACTTTACTTTTAATGTAAGTCAATGGAGCCAGACTTTTTTCCAACTCATTTTGTTTCTTTTGGTCCATTCATCATGAAATTTACACACAATGTAAAGAACAACAAGCATTTTCAAATTAGGTCAAAAACTGAAAAACGAAAATGGAGATATAAGGTTTTCTTCTGACAGCAGCGATATATAACCTAGTACAGCTTAAATATTAAACAATGATTCATAATAATAAAAATAATAATAATAATAATCATAAAGGTTTGAGCATCCATAATTATGTTTTGTTGATTTAAAATTTTTGTGTGCAATTTCTGGAAATATTGGCAAACCTAAAATGTAGCATATTAAATGTGCTACGATATAATCTTTATACATGACACTTTTTAGTGTTTTTTATACCTCAATATGTTAAATTAAGCAAATTAACAGTAATTGTGTATTACAATGTGCAGAAGTATGTTGACTGTAGGATATATGCATATATATAAATTTTTTTTTTTTCTACTTTTATTTATAAACTCTTTTATATAACTCTAATAAATACAGTATACATTTCTTGTAAAGCTTGGAATTTCTTGGAATGGCATATTTGGCTGTCCAAACCTTTAGACAATAACCCTCACATTTACAATTATGTATGTGGAAATGAGCTGACAATAATAAAATATAATTATTGCGTGTTTGTTTGTTTAAAAGGTACTCCAGTGTTCCTGAATCCATCTACAGTACAGCATGAGCAGCTCTTAAACCAGGTGGGTATTGCCGACTCCCAGCCAAATCACACACACACATAGTGAAGAGTGTCTTCTCATGCAGTCTTATTAAACCACTTAATCCTTCCTCAAATGCATTTGATATCTCCCTCATAGTTATACATTTCCAAACCAATATCTGATCCTTAGGGGCCATAACACATCATATCTGCTCGCCTGCAGCACCGGAGTTTAACTAATGACTGAGCTTCTGCTCTTTCTGTTCATGTGAGCGACAGGTGGGCCTAAGTAGCTGTATGGAATTGCTCAGAGACCTGTTTTCACAGCTGTGTGAAGATCATGACTATTAGAGTTAGGCCTTCAGTTTGTGCCATGATTGTCGAAAATTGGTTCAAAAATTGCTTAAAAAATGAGGAACAAAGTCTCTATAATAATGTTAGTTTCTGCAAGAGCCCTTATGGGACTCTAGTAGTATTTTAGCGCTAGGCTAACACCGATTCACAAGAACATTTTTGGCTGTTCTAGATCAAACCAGGACACTTGAAGATCACAAAAAAACATTTTGTGTTTTATTTAAATCTTGCAGCAGCCACGTTCATGTAAATTTTACCTTGTATGTAGAAGTTTTGCAGTGATTTTAGCAAAGATCTCTGGATTAGAGCTGCTGCTGTTTTCCATGTGACTGAAACACATTAGTCAGGCTCAGGCTAACACCCCCCCCCACCCCCCCTCCACACACACCCATTTTGCCTTTGTGTAAAATAACTTTTTTTAAAACTCACCACATTTTCAGTTTCTTCATTTATATGCTGCACTGAGATAACCGAGGTGGCAGGCTAGGGATGAAAACTGGCAAAATCATGAACTCTACAGAGCACTGCCTGGTGTGTCAGCCAATAACAGATTCACACCATCGTTCTCGAATTTCTCGAGGCTGATGTTAGCTTCTTATTCTCATTTCCGTTTCATCTTAAATAGTGCAGCAGTTATAAGCTGGCACCCATAGAAGCGTCTGAAAGTAACTGCTACATCAATTAAGGTGAAATAAGAATAAGAAGCTAACTTCAGCTTCATCTAATCTCTGTCCGCTGTACAAGACTCAGTTACAATCAGCAAACCGAGACTGTTTCAATTGAGCTGCTGGCTGCTGTAATTTAGCTCCTGAATTGCTGCAGATATACACTTGGATGTAACATTTATAGTTTGTCTGAAGGGTCTTGTGTTTATATGCGAGCGTAACTGGCCCAAAATTCTACTGGCCCACCTGGTATTCTCCCCACTCTTTCGATTATCCGCTCCAGAATTGGTCAGGTCAACGCTCGATCAGTGACGTATCCAGGTTTTCCAGAAGGCCTAGAGTGAGTTTTTTTTACTTATGAAATTGATTGATTCTCAATTCCTGATTTTGTTAGTGGTTAATCTGATACATTAGGCCTTCAGTTTAGGTCCTGAAGGCCTATCTAAAGGGAGAGCCAGTTTGGCTGTATCTATTTAAATACCACAGAAAAAAGACCCAATCAAATAATTTTTGAGAATTAATTTTGAGAATTTTACCCTTTACCAAAACTTGACAATTGAATATTATTACTTAAGTATTACTATAATATTTGCAGAGTTTAAATACAAACATGATCTAAAAATTAAAAAACAGGGTGAACTGTGAAAACAGTGCTTATAACCTTTTGTAACACTGAAGTAATAGAACTGGATGTAGCTGGTACATTTTCATTTGAGAGGCGTCATATGAAATTTGAAATGTTAAATATTCCAGTGTATTTTACAGGAAGGTTTCTTCCTCCATGAAATCAATTCACCCCCATGTTTCTCCTGTGCCCTCTCCCGCAGATAGATAATGCGTGCTCGTCCTACCTCTCTGCAGAACAACCCCTAAGGGTGAGTGAGGCTGTCTTTATGCAAAGCAGTGTCCCTTAATGTTGCCCAAAAAAACTCCTTTGAGTCAGCACCATGCAGCTGCAGAGTTTTCTCTGGGCTTTGGAAAACATCTTTGTGCCATTTCCATAGCATTTAGCCTTGACTTGAGCCATCTGGAAGAAGAGTATCCAATTAAACTGTCTGCAACCCCTCCCATGTCTCCATTTTAGACATCTGACGTACTGCGGGACTTCTGCGGGTTGATGCTGGGGGTGCTGCGAAAATCTCAGGTGAATGCTTTTGTACTATTTTAGCTTTAGGAATATGAATATTTTTGAATACACATATTATAAACCTTAAGATCTCTGCTGTCCAGAAAAGCCTTACAGTTCCTTGCGAGAAAGATGCATACAAAATACATTGTATACGTGAATTATATAGCGGATACTAAATTATGTATTTTTTATTTTTTTGTATTTTATGGAAATATACGTCAAACATACTTTTCTGTATCTTTTAAAAGAAGTACATTTTTAAATTATGCTTTAGTCTGCAAGGAAGCAAACTTGAATAAATGTATTTCTTAACATACTGAAGCATCCTTAAACAAAAGTATGTTTGTTATCAACTTAAGTGTATTATATAGAAGACTTTCTTACAGCGCTGACTTTTAAAGTAGGCTTTAGTACATTTTAGTTGCAGCTTACCAGCAATCAAATATGGATATCGGTACACTGAGGAGAGTACATTAAAAATATGTTTAATCCATAATAGAATAAAGCAATAAGCCACGAGAGGCCGTGTTACTGTGATTTTACCACGGGGAAGGGTGTTCTTAGGCATGACACGAAGCAGAGTCTGGGACAGGGATGCAGTTTCACTTTCTAAAATTTATGATAAATCTTAATTTTTCAATTTAATTCTAAAAAAAAGATTCTGTAAAAAAAAAAACTGTTGTTTTCACAATTTGAAATTCAGAGATTAGGGTTTGGAACAGACACCTCCCAATAGAAAGTACTCTCTCTATAAATAATGCTTTATGTATTTAATAATGCTTAATGATTTATCTCAATTAATGCCTTGTGTTTAATTAGATCATTACATAATCCTTGTAAATATATAAGATCTGAATACTTCAATGTTTTTTTTTTACATTTTTTTTACTGCTGGACTGTAGTTTGAACTCAGGAGAAAGGTCCATATATTAGGCCTCTGGCCTGCCAAAAACAGAGTATAAAGAAAACGTGAACAACATACTATTATCTGTCTATTAAGTAAGTAAGTTTGACCGGGTCTCTCTCTATTACAGGAGTTGGCAGCTCGAGAGCCGAGTAAAAGAGTGAGTACTTTTACCCTTTACACAGTCATCATTTACTGCAATTACAGTCAAACAGGATCATAACAACAACCTTTTTTCTATGTCTGTGTGCTCGTGTAATCACGTTTGTGTAATTTTACCTGTTACATGCTACTTGTATGTCCTTGTTTTTTTGTTTTTGTGCACGTTTGCTTTTACTTTCCATTTCTGCACACGTTGCTGTGCGTTTCGCGTCTTCGTGCTTGTTTGTGTACATGTCCTGCTGTGAATGTGTAGTTTTTATTTCATTACACTAAGCCGAATGGTGCCGGATTGTCTGATGGGACGGTAGGTTATCTGAGATTATCCCATTCTCTCTGCTTTACTCTGAACACCTGCCGCTTACCTCATTCTGTCACTATTCTGCAAAGTTGCAGTGTTGGCTTAGACCTTTAAGCTGCATATTGTTACCTGGAAGATTATAGACAATAACAAATGCACAACAATGAACATCGCTTTCTCCTCCTCTCTGTATGACCTGTGACTTCTTCACTTTGTGTGGCTGTCTTCACTGCGTGCTACTCACTGCTTGCATGCAACGTGTGAGTTCATCTGCGTGCCTTGCCGCTCGTCACCTGGCCTGCCAAGATGTGTCAGAACACGAATGGTGTCGAAACGAACCATCCAGAAGACAGGGCCAATTTATGAAAATACCTTTTGTTCATTAAAAAGCTCTTCCATTATTCATTGCAGACGGTGTTTCTTAAGTGCTGCAATTTTCTTGAAAACTCCCTCTCCAGTGACAGTTTTTAAAATTAATTTAGGATGAAATGAACTTCTGAAATGGCTCAGCAGCTACTTTATTTGAACTGTTTGGCCTTGGATAGGCGAAGAAGTTGCTCTTAGCTTCTCTAACTAACCATCTGAGCCTTGTTATGTGGGTGGCCTACCTAAATGAATGGCAAATGATTGAGTGAACTGAAAGTATGAAAGAGTTATAGTTCAGAGTGGGTGTTAACTCTCTAGCATAGCTCAGAGTCCATGTATCCTAGGAGAGTCCTAGTGGACAGTACACAACTCAAAATCTTCGAATCGCTGCATTGCTCACATTATACCACATTTCACATATGCGACCTGTTGTAGAAGTGCTCAGATTGCAAGATTCATCAGATTCAGAATTTCAAACACACTTAGAAGGGAATATCTCAGTTTCTTCAAGATTGCTTCGTAATTCAGTCATTGAGATGTAAACCGTTCTGAGTGTTCTGATGTGAAATGGTGAATTGTGCAGAAACAAAAAACTCATGAAAATAGTAGTGATAGGAACCAGTTATGGTGATATCTACAACACAAACACAGCCATTTTATTTACTATCCAAAACAGCCAGTGAACCTACATATGTCTTTTAAGTTATTATGTGCAATGTTGATAGTGATAAACGAGCAGCAACGTTTAAAAAATAAGTCTTCTTTGGATAATATTTTGCCTTACAATGCCCTGCATGTGTCTCTCCGCTGTGAACGTATTTTAAAAATTGTTTTAGGCCAAAACTTTCTCTCAAAACAATCTAAAAATGTCTCAGGCAGCATAAATTTCTCTTTTTGAGAAATTACATGCTTCAGATGTCTGGTTCCTATCACCACCACTGTGAGCAGTTCTAACTCAGTACGTTTCTCTAGAACAGAGCATTTCAAATCAAACCACTCTGAATGGTTTTGTTTACATCTTAACCATTGAATTATGTGGAAATTTAGAAAAATCAGTGGAATTCCCCCTTTAAAGGAATCTGTTGTCTGCTGCCCCCTAGCAGACCCAGTCTGTCCTGTCAGTGGTGCTGTCTGGCTTAAAGAGAAATTTCACAGATTTTTAAAAATTGCTGCATAATTTAATCCTTGAGATGTAAGCAAAGTCTTTCTAAAAGGTCTGAAATCAACTTGAATATTCATTACAGTTTTGGTGATAGGAACCAGAGCTCACACATAGCCATTTTATTTATTATGCAAAATAACCAGTTAGTCTACACGTGTCATCTGAGGTTTTATGGGTAACATTGATAATGATAAACTAGTGTCAAATCCAAAATCCCTGCAAAAACTTTTCTACAATAAGTGAATTAAAAAATACTATTTAGGTTGGATTTAACTTTGATGTAGAGTTTTAAAGGCATTAAATGCTTCAGATGTCTGGTTCCTATCACCAGTGTTGGGAACAATTTCTAAAAACCCCAGTCATTTGAGCGTAGGTATGTGTATAACATTAGCCCTCCTCTCCCCGCCCACTTTATTCTAATAGGATGCCCCAGATGGTTCATTTTGATCATTGACGTTAATTTCCACAAGAGATGATAAAAAAGAGAGCCCTGGAAAAGCATTTCACCATGTCAAGTTTTTCAATATGTATTGAAATCGTTACACCTTCATATTAGTTCATAAGTGTACATTAGCATGTCGCACAATTTTGCCTTATGGTAATCCACATTGCAGCAATTACAACACAACAAAAATGACTTACACCAAAGTTTTTCTATTACAGGGAATTAGAATGCAAAATCAGTGAGTAGTAGAGCTCGGCCTTCAGTTCAGGCGATAAACGTCAAAACTCTGATATGATAATGCTATTTTCTGCTAGTGCATTCTCCCTGTACCTTCGCAGTGCTGGCCCAGACATTCTGCTTTTGCATGGCCTTTCCTGTGTTTCTGCGTTCTGTACTGAGCATTGCTGCACTCCGCGTGCAATATGAACACCGAGCCGCACTGAGGACGAGTATGTGTGTATGTGCGTATGAGCGAGTGTGACTGGTGGCCAGCATGTGTGGAGATGGTGGTGTCCTCTCTGCGACCTGTGCCCTATCTCTTTCAGGGCAGTTGTTCATGGTTTTCATCTCTCTCTCTGTGTGTTCCTGTATGTATGTGTGTATGTGTCAGTCCACTGTGTTCCACCCTCTCCTGCAGCTCATACCCAAGCTCCATAGCAGAAGACGCAGAAGAGTGGAGTCACATGTATGTATCCTCTGCATACTTCCTCCTCATGTAGCCTGTTGTGAAGATAAGACAGAGGGAATGATCTCTTCTTCCTGTTGAAAAGATCACCCATCTCTCTTCATTCTCCACTCCACACAATTACATCTCCGAGATAGACGTAATTGTGTTGTTCCTTCTGATGCTTCAGTGTTACGTCTCGTGACTCATGAGCAATGCTGATGTTACCCACTAACATCTGATGCTGTGTCAATTCAATAACCTAAATGACTGAAAACCTTCTTAGACATACACTGTGTGTCCAAGAGTATCCAGATAACTCTTCTAATTAGTGAATTCAGCTACTTCTGTTGTTGATATTGGCATTTATTTGCACGTTTACAGTTTGTATAATGTCCCTAGTAAAGCATTGCCAATGGAATAGGACACTCTGGAGCAGCCACACATGAGCCTAAGATCACCATGCCCAATGTCAGGCATCTGATTGAGGGGTATAAGGCCCCCCAAGCGTTTTGGAGCAGTGGAAGTATGTTCTCCGGAGTGATGTAGCTCCAACCAGTGCCTTTGGGATGAGCTAATCATCTAACATCAGTATCTGACCTCACTAATGCTCTTGTGGCTGAATGCAATCAAATCCTCACAGCAGTTTTCCAACATTTAGTGTAAAGCCTTCCCAGAAGACTAGAATCTGTTTCTGCAGCAAACACTGTAGTAATACTCTTTATTTCAATAGAAAGGTTAGAGGAGCAGGTGTCTACAAACTTTTGGACATACAGTGTATGTAAGCTCAGTTCTTCAGACTGAAAAGGGCTCCAATATACGTCTTGTAAAGATTTTGTGGTAAATGTATAGGCACATTTTTACATGCTTTAACATATGTGCGCTGAACTTTACATAAAAAAAACAATTACGGAACTTCATTAAAGGTTCCTCTCAATCTCGTAGCTGTAGGCTTTGTCCAGTTTACTGGGCAGACAGGGTTGTCATAGTGATGTCAATCTATTCCTGTCGAAAAGTTCTCCCACCTCTCTTCATTCTCCACTCCGCAAATGAAATTTCTGAGATAGATGTAAATATCTCAGAAACTGAAGCTTCAATGCTACATCTTGTAACTCAGGATCAGTGCTGATGTTACCTGCTACCACATCATCTGATGCTGTGATAGCATCTGTAACAGCTGATGTTGATTTTCCACTGTTACGTTGCTGTTAGACCGCAGCATATAATCATGTCATGGTTTTGCTATGAGAGCTCTCAAAAGTGTAAAATCAATTATCTTAATAATAACTTTTGTAATTTTATATGCTTTATTTACGTATAAACTTAAGGTACTTTGGGAACAGCAATAAGGTATTAAATTGTAAATAGCATACTCAAGTTTTGCAGCTTCTTATCTTCCTGTTATTTGAAACCTTTGAAGCTGCAAAGCACAAACATGTTGCACTTTTGAAAAACAGTGTTTTCAAAATGGTTCTTGGTAGAGATGCAACAGATTCAGTACCAGGCATTGGTGTTGGGTTTCAGCAGAAAATACTAGAATGAATCAGATCCAGTCCTGTCACAAATCCGGCCTGAAATACAAGACATTAAAAAAATCGTATCACAAGTATACACACCAGAAGCAACACATTTTTGTTTTTGTTATTTTTTGCCATATTATTTGTATCGCAAAACAAACAAACATGACACAGATATCATTTGCTCCATACCAATGGCCAAACAATGAAGCTGGATAGGCTGCTTTCTGTTTTCGAAAAGGCAAAGAAACTCAAAGAGTGTCGCTGCCTCAATCAGCAGAAGCTAATCTAATGCCTCATTGAGCAGAAGCTAATCTGACGCCTCATTCAGCAGAAGCACAAACTTTTCTTTTTGAAATGACCCTTTTGAATCAGTGCCAATCACAGAGACAGCAGTTGTTGGTCGTGAGAGTTCATGTACCCTACTTCACTATGTAAGATTTAGGGATTTGGAGACCCCTCTGGTCGAGACATGTAATTGTGTGCAACGTGCGGAAGAACATTTTGTAACATTGGTTGAGCTTCGGACCCCTTCCCCGAGGGGATGAATCTAAGAATTGCAAGCACAATGAAAGAGTATTTAAAAACAACTGAGTCACAACTTGGTGAAGGACGTATGTTCCGTGAGTGAATTCTCTACTGTTATCATCATATCTTCATCAGTATAGTGTTAATTTTGCATCTGAGACCAGACCATCAAGCTGAAACTTGTTTTTTAGGCTGTGCGTGTGACGTTAATACATGTCCTTGCATATGATGTTAATGCACACGGACACCATATTTTTACGCGTTTTTTCCTTCCTGACTCAGTAATGCTACGTCTTTCAGTTTTAACAAAAATCATACATAGTGTAGCATTAATTTTACATCTGAATAAATCACAAAAATAAATCAACCAGTGATAAATCGGGGCGTGAAGGCCATGTGCACTGCCATGTTGTAGCTTGTTTGAGTAGTTTGAGCATCATAGCCTACTTTTAGGTGCTTTAGTAAAGTGGTTCTGTTAAAAATAGTTAGTATTTTTTTTATAGTAATTTTATGGCTTAATAGATTTGAAATAAAAATATCTGATCTGTATTGTATAAACAGTGTTTTTATGCCTTCTCTAATTCTTGGCTATGATCCTAAAAAAACCCTTTATTGCCGTAGAACTAGTTCTACAGTTTCTACAAACTTTAAAAGGTTTTATCACGCTCACCTACAAAAATGATTCTTTAATGAACTATTCTTCAAAAGCTTCTTCAGGAAACTACAAGTGGTTCTTTTTGCACCTTTATTTTTAAAAGAGGTTCATCTGCAACCAAATTGGTTATGCTTTTTGAATGGTAGCGTATAATTGAGTAATGTTTTGTTATGACGTTGTTATGAAAGCTCTCAGTGGTATCTCTGGTATTGCACTCGGGGAACTGATAATGCCATTAGCAACCACTGCAAGTTACGCAGGTCTAGAGGCGTTTGACTGTAGTAGGAAATTGCATCCTTGTTTAATATGTTGTGATTCACCTTCCTTTAATACCATAATGATTCATTTAATTATATCTCATCTCTGAAGCTGCTCTTCCGCTCATTAGGTATCGCTTTAATTTAGCGTGCATGTGATTTTTATACATGTTTAGGGTATTGGGGGCCGAGTGAGTGATATGGAGGATGTATGTATGTAGGATGTCTTGCAGGACGATATCATGTTTCTGAAATTTCTAAATCTAAATCTCCCCGACACTTAAGTTGTGTTTTCAGTTCATTCTCATGAGTGATTGAGTGGGTGTTTGAGTGTGTATGGGAGGTGGAGGTGCATTCGCGGTCGTTTCTGCTTGCGCGCATCCCTTTCCAAACGCACATGTTGCACTGCGCCTCAAAATTAGTTGCATTAGCTGTTCTTTTCCATTCGGCCAGTAATTATTGACTGAAATTATCTGCACTGACCTGCACTGCTTTGCACAGGTCCTACAGCATCGCCAGGGACATAACACTCAAACAAGCTCGCTGATGTAGGGGAGCACACTGCGGGTGGGCCCTGAGCAGTGAGGGCCCCCCAAGGACTGGACGTAAAAATGGACAAATTAAAAATATACTGTCTTGCAGACAACAGAAGGACAGACAAGACTGCATCTACCACTAGTGTTATGGATTTGACAGACACTGTGAGAGAAAATGTGAGAAGAAAAAGGCATTTTGGTTGTTGTTTAATGTAAAAGTAAAATGAAAAGAAATAATCCTCTCAGGCTGGATGTTACAGTGATATTCCCACAGCTAACGCACAACGCAAAGCAGAATAAAATCAGTGTAACGGCTGGACACGAGTGGATTATTGCTTTTAATCCATTATTGCTTTTAAACGGCCACAAAATACAATACGTTATAATGCACCAATATTCAACAGCTAACTTAATTTATTAATAATAATAATAATCATAATCAAAATAAATATATTTTGTAAGAAATATAATGTTAATGACTTAAAATTAGTCATTAACACTTTATTCAAATATCAAGTGCTTTTTACAACTTCTTCGAACATGCTCAGTAACTAGCAGCCATTCATTTAGAGTGCAGACTCCTTGGCCATTTGAGATTTGCCTGTGTTGCTACAGGCATGTCAGTTGCAGTTTAGTTTACAACCTTCCCATAGGGGCCTGACCCGCACTCTTTTTTTGTGGGGGGAGGTGGATTGTGGGGGGGTTGAATTTTGCACTGTAAACTTCTATTCAAACTCCAAACATAAAACTTTAAATGCTGAGGAATGTCCCTAAACCTTATTAGAACTTATCAAACCCCTGCATGAGAGGTGAGAAATTGAAGCAATAGAATCATCACAGCTGTGATGTTATACGCGATAACACACAACCTCGAGTGTTCTATTGCTTTTATACAACAGTTAAATTAATAAAGTAAGAAATTAATAAACTGGGTCGTGAGTGCGGCATTTAATGTTTTAATTTTTGCAATTGCTTCCGCCAAATTATAGTTCCTTAACAAGCAGCTTGTTGCTACGTCAGAGTAACGAGCTCCGCCCACTTGCTGCACAGCCGGCAGTTCGTTCTCCAGCTCCTCACACTAAATTCTGAAACTGTCATCGAGTACCATTCACCAAACGTGTAGTCTGGTCTTTAGAGTCTGACCAAATCAGACTGAGCCATAAAACTGCCGCAATATCAAGTTTAGCTCAGTTTTGTCAATTTCTGCCAGATCAGTATTAATGTTGTTTTGTTCCAGCCAGTCTGTAAAGCATCTTACAGCCCATTTTATTTGACAAATGGTATTGGGTTCATTTCTGGCTGATTCCAGGTTGTTTAGCTGTTCTTCTGTCACAGCTGCCGACTGAAAAGCTGCTCAGTGGTGATGACAGTTTGGGAATTCAGTGTCGTCTCATCTTCAGAGTCTGACCAAATCGGCTGTCGGTCAAATGTGATCTTAAAAGTGTCCATTTTCTGTTTGTGCAAAAAGTAAGAAGTAGAACGTTCAAATGGCTTGAGCGTCTCCTACAGTTGGCAAAGTCGTTGCTTAGCTACGGCATCTCAGTGGAGCGATACAGTGTTTGTGAAACGCTTCTCAACCAATCAGCTTTGAATGACTAGTACTGTAATTTAGTGACCTGGATGACCTGGAACCTTCATAGACATAGACATAAACTCATGTTTTGAACATGTTTAGAGATCCAACTCACTCTAAATCATTTTTTTCATCCAGAAGCTGAAAGAAAACCAGAAGCTTTAGTTCAGCGGTGTCCAATCTTATCCACAAAGGGCAGTTTTCATTTGAAACAAGCAAAAAAACAACTGGCTCCACTTGTTTAATCAGTTCGTCTCAGACTTCAACAGCTGATCATGTAGAGTCCTGCTTGGTTGGAATGAAAACCTGCAGCGTCACTGGCCCCCCTAGCGACACTGGACACTCCTGACCTAAGCCAGGGTTGTCTAATCTTATCTCGCGGGTAAGACTGGACACCCCTGGCTTAGGTCAATTGTCATAAAACTACTAGGAACTAGGAACAGTTTGTTAGGAAACTAACAAGGAGTAACCAGTAAATACATTTGAAGAAGGGACAAGACGTTAACTGTATACTGAAAGCAACAAACAAAACAAAGACTATACAAAAAGGAATGAATGGGAAAAACAAGACAGCAGTGAATACAATGATTACAGGGTGGAGACATGAGGTTACAGACAGGGACATGATGGAGACAGAAGGTTTTTGACTAAAAGTCAACCATTTCCAGAACACAATCCCATGACATGGAGTCTGTGACAGTTTTTTTCCAACTTAGAATTAACACACTTTGCCCGATGATATTTGAGGTGAAACTGCAGTTTTTCATTCAGGCTTGTTTGTTATGTAAATGGCTTGATGTTGTTGAGAACTTGGTAGGGCTACAAGTTATGGATTGAATACCATGTTGTGATTTTGATAGGACTTTATATTTAAACCATCCTGGTTAACTGACCTGCATTATTTTGACCACAGTTGTTTAAGTTTGTTTAGACTTTTCTTATGCATTGGTAACAGTTAAAAAACAGTTGTGCAGCTCTAGAACCTGGCCAAAGAAAAGCAGCACCACATACCAGTGCTAAGACTGATTTAGATTTAGGGCAGAGGTGTGTTGCTGAAGGAGGTCAGTCTTGTTTAGTGAGAGAGGGAAACAAGCCCGTGGACAACACTTTTACACACATCAGAAGAACTGTTTGTTTGGCTGGGGGCGGCGTGGCCACCTTATCCTAAAACACCATGCAAAGCTTAGTGGAATCTGAGGAGTTGACGTTGCTGCTTTATGAATTTTGGCTTCTTGAATCATGAGCATTTGAACCCCTTAAACTCCAGGCCTACTGCTACTCATTTTACTTTTAACTACTATCAACTACTCATTCCGCCGCAGGGGTCCATGCTGCCAAGGACCTCCCCACCATTTCCCACTGCCTATGAGGCACTGCACCGCTTCCACACGCTGAAAATGCCCACATGGTCCCCCCACGTTGTTTTCTTAGGCTGAGCCCAACTGGGTATGACGGCTGCCCGGCCACCAGGCGCTCAAAGAGTAACACTACCCCCAGGCCCGGCTCCAGGGGGACGTCCCGGTAACCCTCTCCCAGGCAGGGTACATAATAAATTGTGTCCACTGATCAAAGGGATTTTGGATCGTGTTAGTCTGGGTCTTCACTCCAGACATGTTCACCTTGGAAGGCCCTTTGACCAGGACCGTACTGCTCCAGATGACTTAGCTCTGAAGATCCTTAGACCACATAAGTCCTTCTACCACACTAAGGCCCTGATCCAGGAAGGATCACCCCCCAGAATGAGCTGGAGGAAGTTGCGTGGGACAGGGTCATCTGAGATTCTCTGCTTTCCCTATGGCTACTGTGACCCTAGCTGGATCAAGCAGTTTAAGATGATTGAAAAGGATGGATGAATTATTCATGAAATTGACATGTAAATTATGTAGTTTGCTTCCATAGACGGGTCCTTTAGGCTTTAAGGTGTTAAAATGAAAACGATTCTGTGAAAGCTTTCCTCTTGGAACCACATTTTTAGATTGAACAGTGAGGAATAACAGATCTTACAACGCTGTTATTGAGAAATGGCTTTTGTTCATGCACATAATTTAAAGACGGATTCCATTGTTTTCCTAAAATTTTGCATAGTGCAATTATGAACATGTCAAAAAAGTCATTCAGAGTGTTTTTTGTGAAATGCTCCTTTCTAAACAAACTAACAGACAATCGTTTACAGAAGTGGTGATAGGAACCAGACATCTCGAGCAATTAATGACTCTAAGAGTTACTGTACAGAAAGATATCAAATGAAATGGTTATGAATACATCGCCAGGTGCCAGGTGTTGTTTTACAACAGTTTAGAGAGCGAAAAAATATTTTTTAATCCCTTCGTGGTGGAGAGGTACATGCAGGGCATGATATGATATAATACCCCAAAAAAACATTTTTTTCAGATTTATCACTATTTTACCATTTTATTAACATTGCATATACAAACTCAGAACACATGTAGGTTCACTAAAATGGCTATATTTGCACTGTACCCCTGGTTCCCAGTAACACCACTGTAAAGAAAATCTGAGTCAATTTCAAGTGATTTCTGTACAATACAACACTCTGAATGCCTGTTTACATATCAACAGTTGAATTTAATTGAAATTTTGAGAAGTCAGTGGAATTCCTCTTGAAGTAATGTGCTAGTTGTGCTACAATATATCTAAAAATGCACTCTCTCTTTTCAGGAGGACATGCAGGGCCCAGGCGCCATCCAGAGTAGAGGATACTTCTTATATCGGGTAGGCAATAGTGCAGTAACTTGCCTGTTTGTTCTACAACTGTTACTGTAATTTGCATAGTTTGTAGTTAAAATGTTAAAATTAGTCTTTAATGTGCTTAAGAACAACAGTAACTGACAAGTGACATGTTTTATTTTCTCTTTACAGCCGCGAAATGGAAGACGGTCAACAGAATATGTGTAAAGAGGAGAAAGAAAACAGGTAACTGGCTCTGCGTTCACATTACCAGGCTGAAGTGGCACAAATCCGATTTTTTGCCCTAATGTGACTCAGATCAGATGTGTTCAGGGCTGTGTGGACACGCAAATCTGATTTTTTCAAATCCGACCTGAGCCACTTTCACATGTGGTCCTAGATCGGATTTGTGGCCATGCGACCTTAATGTGACGCTCAGATCGGAAATCATGTGCTTTTTTCCCACTGCGTGCGCACCATCATTCAGCGTTACCATGGCAGCGGCGCCGAACAGAAGTTAAAACCTGTAAACAGTGGAAAAGCAGAACATCTCACCTTTTTCGCCTTCGTCTTGCTCTAATAATGAACATCTGAGAGCTGATCAGAGTTCATTACCTTGGCAGCGAAGGCTCGTTCTGCTCTTTAGTCTTTTTGCTGATGACGCATGTGATGCACGTGATTCATTCACGTGACGCTACTGAGTAGGATGTGTGCATGCGGGTCATTTCAGGGAGCCGGTTTGTTCACAATTAATGACAAATTTGAAACTCTTACCTAAATGAGTGTGAACAATCGTGTCAGAGAGATCGGATTTAAGCAAACAATCAGATTTGAGCGATGAGACTTGTAATGTATACGTAGCCTAAGGCCCTGTACACCCTCAAAAAGAATGTAATAACGGTCTGCAGAACACCTTTCGTCAACAACACTTCTTTATAGTTGTCAGCAAGACTGAATCAGTGACAGAGCTTTCGTCTCTGTGTCTCCCCCTAGTCCTTGTCCTGTGGAGCTGCTGTTTATACCCAGATGAAAGCCAGACAACCCTGGACACCACACCCATTCCTCCGGAGCACCTGCTAACTGTCCGTCTATGGTGTATAGTGATGTTAAATGTACATAGAGAATCCAAATAAAGTCTTTTTTTGACCCAAAGGTCCTGATTGTGTAACCATGTTGTGTCTTTTGAATTAAAAGCATTCTGAAATGTTCTCCCGTTGTTGTGTGATTTTGAGTGACTAGCTGTGAAGCTCTCTGTCTGCATATCTTTGTCAAGGAAATTGGTGAGGTTTTGTTGGATGGTCCTGAATTGGTGAACATTAAAGCTGATGCATTCTTTACCACCCCATAGGTGGGGTTAATTGTAACAGGCTGAGGGGCTAGTCATAACAGTTGCTAAAAGGTTTGGCAAATGCAAAACAATTAATTCTACTGTTTCTAATTCTAATGTTTCTATAATGTTTAAACAAATTGGATATCCAGCCTGAATACATCCAAATATATCGCTGCTGTCAGAACAAAACCTTGTGTCTCCATTTTTGTCGTTTTTCAGTTTTTGACATAATTTGAAAATGCCCGTCTCCCTTTACATTGTGTGTAAATTTCCCAGTGAAAGGACCAAAAGAAACAGCCTAAAATTACTTGGAAATAAGTCTGATTACATTGATTTACATTAAAAGTAAAGCTGTTTTTTTTCTTCTCCTGTAAAGTTACCATTTTGAGTTTTTGTTCCGACAGCAACAGTACGCAACAAAATAAATATGATTAGAGAAAGACGCTGTGACTAACATAGCAAATTTATTTTTGACCACAAAGTGGAAAAGTTACAATCAGAATGATAATATTTAAATATATTAATTTACATTTTACATCCATAGTACATTTTTGAAGAAGCTGCACATGAAAACTTATAAAGCACGATGGACGTATATGGACTATTCTTGTTAAAGTCATTGGGAGGCTTAGTTGTGACAACTAACCCCGCCATGTGGAGGCTGTTCTTTAGCTAGGCCAGCTCTCAATGTGAGTTGCTTACATGCCTTAAAACAATGCTGTGCTGTAGCCGAGTGGGTGATTAAAATAAATAGGTGTGAATTCTTTGACAATTGAATATGAAAGTTGCTTTAATGTCACAAAAAAAGAGTCTTCAGGGTCGATCTTGAGAAATATCTTCTTTTATTCCCTTCTTCCAGAGCAGACAGAACATTTCATAGAATCACTCGGCATACAGTTTTACTCATTTTAGTTTCACAGGGAAGCAAGCTAAACATGAAAAATGTCACAGCTTTTAAAACACTACTTGTTCAAAACTCTGTATAATGTGACACATGATGCACGGGTCAGAGAGTGGAGTGTGTGTGCTGCATAAACAAAGGCTCTTTACCCTTCACTAGTTCTGGAGTTAGAAGAAAGACCCAGGAGGCAGCGCAGAACTCACAAGACATTAGTGTAGTAGCAGTAGTGTTGGGTGCTGTATGTGTGTGAGGGTGAAACAGGGGCCTTGAGGAGTGTGAAAATACATAGATGTCAGTGAACCCTGGAGTGTGATGAAAGCAGCAGAGCAGAAAACACAAGTTCTGGCACCAGGAATATAGACTCACACAATGCTATATTATGAAACTTTGAGTTCTCCTGTGTGTTGGACTATAAGGAGCTACACTAAGAAAATGTGAAATCGGTACTTCTGTATCTTCTTCAGTTCAGTGGTGGCAAGAACACTCCCTCTGTTTACAACCCATTCAGCATTACGGACGTTATGTTTGTCACGTGAGAGACACGTTTGCATATTACACCCTAATCTACTGTGATAGGCTCTTTGTTACAATTGACACAGAGTGCAACCAGGTCCAACCTACGTAACAGCTACGTAGTTATCTAATGCTATCAAACTCAAAGAAGAGCAAACAGAGTTTTTGAAATGAAGTTAGCAAAGTTAATGTATTTGGACAGAACAGTGTGGTGCTAACACTAGCTTAGCAAACGGGCCAACAGCTCCACAGGCATTCCAGCTCTTTTCAGTGAGTCAGATCGACTGGCTCAGCTCACCAGTAAGAGCCGGCTCTTTCAGATCCCAAATTTCTCTTCATTCAGTAACACCGACAGCTTTTTTGCTCCCGAAATTAGCCAACTTACCAATATTATATAATTGAGTTTTCAAACCGTAGGCTAATTAACAAAATGCAGTGTGTTTTTAAAAATTGAATAAGTCAGAGAAGTAGCTTCTTTGGTTGAATTTTGAAAGGCAGGGATTGGCAAAATGTAGGCCAATCCATCAAGCAGTCATCAACAACGGTAGATAAATGTTAAAAAGCAGAAGACCTAGTGAGACACGCTCTGCCAAGAAGAAAACCAGAGACAGGGGAGACACAATGATCTAAGAAGGAGGTTTTGTTCTATAGTGGCTTAAGATCTACCTATTTGTGTGTATATCTATATCTATATCTATACATATATATCTATATGTGTGTGTGTGTATATATCTATATATCTATCTATTTATCTATCTATCTATCTATATATATATATATATATATATATATATATATATATATATATACATATATAAAATGTAATCGGCTCCTCTGTGTTTCTAAATTTTCATTTGCACTTTTGAGTTTTTAGTCTGTTATGGATGTGTTATTGTCACTTATCTGTAATGAAATATATATGTGTATATATATATGTATGTATGTATATTGCCACATCACTACTCTACATACCAGAGGTTTCATTAAAGATAAGTGACAATAACACATCCATAACAGACTAAAAACTCAAAAGTGCAAATGAAAATTTAAAAACACAGAGGAGCCGATTTGATACATTTCTCATTAAAATAAACTCTCTTTATAAGATGTTCAGTGCAGACATACAAGTTTGAGAACTGACAAAATACACATACACCATAAATTAAAGTAAACAAAAGTGAAAACATGTTTACATTAAATAAAAACAGGGAGATTGTTTAGTCACTAAACATTAAAGTGGTAGGTATTTGTGTTTCATAAGAAACAGGTATCAGTAACGGAAGCCCTTCACATGTGCGAATGCTAAGCTAACACTGGAGCTAGTCAAAATTAGAGGCTGATGAGGACTCATCATCTTTTACACAACATATTTAGAAAACTTTACTGAAACAATATGAAGAATGGTATGTCTGCACTCTTTTGCTGCATTAAAAGGGCTTAACAAGGAAAAAAAATATTTTATGATTATGACTATTATTATTATTATTATTATTATGAGCTCATTTATCTTATTTACCTTTAGGCACAATGTTTTCATCACAAATATGTGAGCACTGTACTGTCCTGTTTACTCTGACTGATGTATAAATCTATGTGGTTTTCCACATAGTTAAATCCAAAACTTTCAACTTCAGGAATGCGACAAAAACACGACCACCCTCCAGATGATGAAGATACCATCAGGCATGTGTCAGGCATACGTTCCTCAGGAACACCTTTCCACCATCTAATTTACTGCCACTGCCGTTCTCACCGCAGGTTCGTTCAGAGGAGTTCTGTCTTCTTCCTTTACGTGATGCAGGAAGGAACGTTGAGAGGTCATTGTAACTGGCTGAGAGGTGTGTTGATCTTAATTTTGCAAAGGGTCAGTTGTCGGATTTAAGGTTTAATGGTGGTTGATTGAAAATCATGCTTAGATAGTTTTAATTTGACAGTTTAATGCATTCAGTTAGACAGAACACCCTAGCAGTGTTTTGAAATACTGACTAAATGGTTCCCTTTCAGCAAGAGGCCTATTTGTTTATTTAACGTCCAGCTTAACGTGCCCATAGATTACACTACATGTCCATGAAATATGTTATTTATTACTGATATTAATGGAACGTAAAACGTTGATGAATCCGTGGTTGACGTTCAAAGTCCAGTCTATGATAAAAAAACACAACCAGGTGCCCTGCAGATGCACCAGGTACCGTGTGCATACAGTGCCATCTAGTGATCATTATTAATGCTTGAATGTAACCAGCATAAACATTCATAAAACGTATTGATTGTAAATACTCTATCACTGTGTGTTAAAAAACAAAGTTGATTAAAAAAAATGCGACTTGCCTCTAAAGTAGCACATTTGCTGTACGTTACTTCACACTTAAAACAAAAGACCGGAGCACAGGACATCACTGCGAGTTCTAACGTCATGTGGTCGCTAGATGTCGCTAAGTCTTCATGATCAGACTGAATTCGTCTTTGCGTTTCTCTTAGGAAATATATTTAGGATTAAGCAATAAAACAGTAAAATAAAAGTCCCCTCCGATCGTTACACATCACTATAATGGGTTTTAGTTCAGCACGTTTGTGTGTTAGACGATGTTCAAGCAGTCGATAAATCTGCCTTGTTTTCTAGCACCAGAGCGCCGCTGTGGCGATAACCTGCGCACACGCACAATGCGCTGATTGGTCGCTTCACGCGTCACTCCTCTCGCCCCGCCCCCCAAAATTTTCGCGCGCTCCGTTCGTAGCTAAGGTAGGTTGGCTCGCGCGTTTGACCTAATTGGCGTTCGGCCAAAAACACCGAGCGACAGATGAGGGCCAAAGATTGGGAGCGTTTGTGTAACACCAAACGAGCTGAAAAACAAGAGAAGACAGGAGAAAAAGGCGGCATTAGTGGCCATTCATTGAGACTGTTTACCAAACGGGCCACATTACAGCCATTTAATAACACAACAGCGGAGCGGTTTTCGCCCTCGCGGTCACCTCTTAATAGACAGCTTACAGAGGACGGTGCTAAACTGATGAGTCTTGCTGGCGTCCGTGTGTATAAAGAGCTGCAACCGCGTTGCGGTTCTTGTGTTTCTTTTGTACTTAGTTATCAGGTAATATAAGCCCTTGTGCTGTAACTGACACGACATATTTGGGATATTTAACCGTCCTTCTCTCTCGCCGCTGCGCCCGGCAGCTCGACAGATCTCCCGCCTGTGCAGCGGCGCTCAGCTTGTGTAGGCTGCCGCTCGGTGTGCAGCGCGCATGCGCGGGGGGAGCCCGAGGTAGGCCCTGCTGTTTTTCTAACTCCAGTCAATCCAACGCGGCCATCTAAACCAAAACAAGGAGAGAGAAATCCCCCCGCAACGGCGAGAAAACGAGGTAAGGGCCGGTCGTTTCTGCACGACGGTGCTGCTTTTTAATTTAAAAACAGGACTGTCAGTCCCTCCGTAGCGCGGCGGACGCTTTAGTGCAGACGGGAAGGCAGAAAGAAACACGGCTCTGTGTGTGAGTGAGTGTGTATGAGTGTGAGTGAGTGAGTGTGTGTGTGTTGTTCTTGTGCTCGCTGGGGAAGAAGCCGAAGGCCTGCTGACCCACATTTCGTTCTCGCCTAGTGAGTCTACAGCGGGGAGGATTAGTGCTCACGGTGCCGCTCCGCTAAGCGTTCGCGGCTAGGTTAGCGAGCTAGCCGACTCACGGCTGGGTTATTTATCCGCCTTTGGCTGGTTCGTGTTTGAAACTTTGCTCCTATGTTTGATGCCGTGGGAGCTCGCAGTGACCTGTGTAACGTTAATAAACCAGTTAAACCAGCGCGTTGGCTCTGCTCAGCGCTTCTAGGTCACGTTTAACGTTAAGCATTTCGTTTCACCACCGTGCCTGTAGGTCACCGAGTTCCTGCCCAAATCAGCGGCGCTTATTTCGGTCTTGCTTGATCGATTTGTAGAGGGGAGGGGGTCCAGATCCAGACCTAACTGTAGCCCGACCGTTTAACCGTTAGAGCAACCTGTTAGAGAGGTGGGCACGGCTAGCGACATCATTATCTTCAGCTAACCGCGTTAGTGGGCTAGCCTGGTTCACAGATTAGCTCCCGGCTCGTGGACGGTGGTGCCGTGGAGGAGGATTACGCGTGTGTTGCCGAGCTGTACGGCGCTGTTGGCTCCGAAACGTTGCCGGAGAGTCCGGCAGCAGAGTGGAAATAAATGTTTATTCCCACCGGCTTCCCAGGGCAGCGTGTTTAGCGGTCAGGAGAAGGTAGTTCACCATCAAATTTAGTGCTAGCCTAGCTGTTTTCCTCAGATGGAACCTCAGCTTTGGGTCGCCTGAAGCTTCACGCTCTCAGATCTCATGGGGTCGCCCATAGACCACGCTGTGTCTGTCAAGTTAGTGAACAGAGCTAGGTTAATTAAGGAACCTTGTCCTGCGCTGTCATTTAGGGATGTTTCAGTTTCAGATCATTGCGATTTGTGCTTCAGCACCCTGTGTAAATCCCACACGGCGTTCTGTATCCATGTGCACTGTAGCGCCAAAAGTTTGTAGACAATACTAATGAATGAATTCAGCTGCTTTAAGGTATAAACTCCATAGAAAAGCACTGCCCGTAGAAGGGGACAGTGTGGAGCAGCTGCACATGAGCCTAAGGTCATCACCATGCCCAATGAGGGGTGGAGCAGGGGAACTGTGTTCTCTGGAGTGATGGAGCTCCATCCGGTACCCTTTGGGATGAGTTGGAGTGATCCAGCACTAATTCATCATTAGTACCTATACTAATGCTTCTGTGGCTGAATGCAATCAAATTCCTCACAGCAGTGTTCCAGCATCTAATGTAAAGCCCCTCGGAGGAGTAGAGACTGTTAAGTGGGGACCCTTGATTTCGGAAGAGATGTTGAATGAGCAGTTGCCTACAGACTTTCGACAGACAGTGAATGACCCCTCATTGACACTTATTCGCAGAGGTGATGAGGGACATTTATGACTCCCAGTTCATGGTTCAAGATCAGTAGCTGTAATATACAGTGTAGAGGTGAGGTGAGTTTTTTATAGAGCGGAACAGCGCCCGTATCAATAAACTACTGGCTCTCCCACATGCGGCTTGATGCCCTTCATGAACTTGCTGTTACGATACCTGACCACTTTCAATGTGAGAAAAGGAAAAGAAGCAGGTTATTATTATACAGTGAATGCTGTACTTCCAGAATGCAAGCATTCCTTTTCATGTGTGTGTTATTGTTTGGCAGTGTGGTTGTAAAAGATATTTCAGAATGCACTGTCAACACTGTCAGTAGTTAAAGGGTGCCTGACTGTACTCTTTAAGCTCTTAAATGAGTTGAGTATTCTTTCTATGATTTAATGTACACTAAAGTAGCCAGGCACCTTAGTGAATTCAGTTACCTTAAGGTGCACCTGATGCTGAAATAGTTGTTCAGTTATGGGGACACTATGAAGCATCCACACATGAACCTAATGTCGCCATGCCCAGTGCCAAGCACACACAGCAATGTTCTAACCACTAGTATGAAGACTTCCCAGAAGAGTAGAGGCTGTAGTGCAGAAAAGGGCAGAAAACTCCCTATTAATTCCCAATGATTTCAGAAGAAATGTTGTTCAGGTTATTGTTATTGTGTGCGTTGGTTAAATGCAAGTCAGTCCTGTGTATATCAGTGTTTCTCTGTACATTATTAGGGATGCACTAGATACACTGGAATTGTGGTCCTATGCCAGTATTTGATGCTTTTCGTGTACCTATCTGCCAATGCCGATAAAGAAACCTTTAACGTTGTATTATTGTTGTTATTATTAACAATATTATTTTTTATTTATTTATTTAGTTTTTATTTATTTTCATACAGAGCTGTTCTAAAGCCTGAAGTCGCTGTATAGTTTCAGTGATAGACAAGAACACAAATCGTCAGGAGATGAAGAAGCGTGTTGTGCTCTTTTGAAGTACAGTAACTATGTCATCAAATAGCAGCTATATAGGTGAAATCTAAGCGTCAGTCCAGTGTTGATAATTTTGTCTAAGCATTTATTTACCGATACAGTTATGATTCCAATATCATCGTGCGTCGCTATACAGCTACTGCACTATTATAACTATGTATTTTCTGCCATCCATTTACTGTCAGTGCCCTTAAGTCTGCCTGGCGTGCTGTTTGCAGCCCAAATGCATGACTGCTGATAGTGTCTTGTCCTACTCAACAAAAGGATGTATTGAGTACAGCAAGGTTAAAGTGATTGTGCTGTGCGGAAGTCTCATGTATTATTACAGTGTGGTGGTGTGTGTGTTCGTGCATTGTATGTGAATGAACTGTGGGGGTTTTGTGGTGCGAGAGAGACCCCAGTGTGAGTACTTAATGAACAGTTTCTAATGGCAGTTCTATTGACAATTCTGTTTCCTACTGAGTTGTGCTGTGATATACAGCTGTACATACCTGTCTTGATTGTCTTTGTCTGCTAAAGTGTAGATTCTGCCTTGCTTGCTTTCAACACCCTGAAGCTAAAAACTGCATAGAACGGAAATATTAATGTGCAGACACAGGGGTGGGAGGGCATTATGTGGCATGCAGACACGCGAAGACACACAAACAGTGGTCGTGTGCAGAAGCTCCGTTGGTGTGACTCATGTCATTGAGGCAGAATGAAGGCCATGAGCTAGTATGTGAGCTTGGAGTGAAGAGCGAATGGAACCACATTTTGCCTTTGACTCTGTTAGCAAAGTGGTGCCCCAGAGACTCCAAGAGAGTTTTTATTAACAAATGAAATTGCCATTGAGTCATAAAATTCCACAACGCTTTATCAGTTAAATGTAGGGAGTATAGCATGACTGGAGATTAGATTACAAACCAAGTTCCAGAGAAATGCCCAGTTTTTTAATCCGTTTTTTAAAATATGAATGGGAAAACCCTATTCACTGTTTGAATATCTTTCTTCTTTTGGATGTCATAATGAGGGCAGTATTGATAAAATTCATTATAATGTTCTTCTCCAAGTGATCGCGCTGGGTGGAAGCGTCATGTCTTGTTAGTGTGACGGTGTGTGTGTTCGTGCATTGTGGGAGGATGGTCAAGCGGTCAAGGCTCACAGTATCCTATTATATATTCAAGTTTGCATTAATAAAGTTAACAAACTCATGCTTTGAGTGCTGCTACTCTGTGCTTGAGGAGCGTCTTACAAAGCTGAATTAGCTCGTTATGATTGGCCTGCTTCTCTATGCATAGTCAGTATGTGCGAATAGGGACATCCCCTCTGTGTGTAGCTCTGGCCTCGATTGCTACTATATTTACAGGGCATGTCGAGAGTTAGCTTGGTGCCTCATCACGTTATGTGTGTGTGTGTGTGTGTGTATATATATATATATATATATATATGTATATATATGTATATATATGTATATATATGTATATATGTGTATATATATATATATATGTGTATATATATATATATATGTGTATATATATATATATATGTGTATATATATATATGTATATATGTATATATATATATATATATATATATGTATATATATATATGTATGTATGTATTTTTTTTTTAAGAATTAGCTATTTTTTTAAATTGACGGTGATATTATCTATCATTTAATTTACTATCAACAAGTCTTGGTCTGTTTTCAGATTAAAACACAAAACTGCATTATGTTATTAAAAATATCAAAGACGTTGCAGTGAGAAATGGCTGTTTAGACATACTTTGTGTTGATTTGATAAGACAAGAAACACAGATTAATGGACGAAATACATGTTAAAAGACATGATAGTCATTTGAAAGTGGTATTTTCTAATCATGTTCAGGTGATCTATAAGGGTATTGAGAGTGTGGGGAAAAATCTGATTGCTGAATTAAACATTCATTCTGGCTGATGGAAGAAATAAAGATAAAAGAGAGGATAAAAAAAAGTTCATTTTAGGTTTGTGCTCAGAGTTTTTACTGTATGTGTCCAAAGCAGGAGCTCCAGTGTTCCTTGTCAAAAAGCTAACTGTAAAACCCTGTATTCGAAGATGTCACCTGGTGCTGATATGGAGAGGCTCTCAGGAGGACACAGCCTGTATTGTTAATGTTTTGGATTCTCTGAATGAGTTTCAGACTTCTAGGAAACATGTCATGGATGATCAGCTCTGTGATGCTGTGGTTAAGAGAGCTGGACTGTGGAACTGGAAAACAGTTGTCTTAACAAACCAGAAGCTCCACAGGAGCTGATGGTTTAAAAAATGACTCCTCAAAGCTCCCATCGTGATGATACTCGAGAAAGCAGTTTTGGCTAATTTAGACCATTTAGAGACATGTGCCTGAAGAGTTTCTCACCAGGGGCTCCTTTTTACAGGCCTTCTTTAACAGCCAGTAATCTACCGTCAGAATGGAGGAGGGTT